ACTGAGGCATGGAGAAGACTTCTGCCAAAAAAAAGGCATTGGCTAACAAACAGATGACCGATATGTAGTATTTGGTGAATGTATTTGGTCACTTAGCCACCTAGCAGCTCTCAGTACAAGAGAAGAGACTTCTCTGCCCCGAGATTGTCAATGCCCCTTGCAGACAGGGGGTTGGATAACTGACCGAAGGAAGAATATTTCTTGAATTCATTTTGGGAATGAATACTGTGACAGTCGTGAGGACTCCCTGTCTGAATTGTAAGTACAGTACTGGGTCTCATCTGAGAGCGCTCCCATGGCCTTAAACAATGCACTTCATCTACTTAAGTTTCATGTGTTGACATCTTACTAGGACCCAACTGATCACCACTTCCTCCAAGGATCCATTTTTAACCTGTCTGTTGCTGGTCGGGGGATTGGATTTGGCACTGCCGCCCTCCTCTGTGAGGCAGAGACGGTGGAAGGTCCCGCGCGAGGGTAATCAGACCCCAAAGCCCCAGCCTCTTCAGCCAGAAAGACAAACAGTCCCACTGCTGCTCTCCCAAAGTGGTGAGAGACGTTGCCATGCTTTAAATACGCCATTCACCACCTCGCAGCCAGGGTCTTGACACACAGAGAGGCCACAAGGTGCTTTGCTGCTGTTTCCACATACAAAGAAGTCAGTCATCAATGCCCACCAACCTGACTTAAAATGAGCAAGGATATTTCTGGCGGGAAATTCCAGTTTGCTTAATGCAGCTACTGCCACGTAAATCTTGGAGTTGCTCTAAGGCAAGAAAGAGCAGCTACTGACCTCACCTTGGCACCTGAAGTCAGGCGGGCAGGAACAATTTTTATACTAGGGGTGCTAAGAGCCATTGACCCAACCTGTAAATCCTGTGTATAATGGAAAACACTTCAAGCCAGGAGGAGCAGCACCCCACGCTCCCTTAGTTCCAGCACCTATGCCTGAGGTGGTATTCTCTTTTGTATAGTGGGACTCCTTCAGCTTGCCACATGACCCGTACTGCTCTCAGCATCCAGCCGGAGCCAGAACTGTCAATCTACTGGTTTGGTGACTCTGACTAGCCTGAGCTTCCCAGGATCTCCCACGCTAACATGAAGAGAGTTGGGAACAGATCTGCCCAAGCACCTGATTCAATGACAAAGGCCCCTATTACCTGTATGAAACAGACTGGTGTCCTGCTCTCTGAGACAGGGAGAACCCTTTAAGCTGTGACATTTTGAGGCTGAGAGGCCCATACTCACCATACCATCCGCCAGGTCAGTACTGCCTGTGACAGCGGGTGGAGGGGGGTCAGATGACATGTCATTTTATTATTATTTATTTTTGTTATGGGGCTGATGCCACCTGAGAACTTTCCCGCCCAGGGAGGGGCCTGAGGTGACACCACCCTGGGCGTGGCTATCTGCAAAGGGCCTGTCTAGTGACGAGACCACTCCTTCAGGTTTAAAAAAAAAAAAAATCTCCCCCAGTTCAAAGCGCTGAGTCCCCCACCCGCAGGGAAGGCGGCCGTGTTCACCTCTGTAGTGACTGGTGCACACTGGGGAATCCCTCAGGCCTCCTAAAACAGAGGCCAAAGGAGCTAGAATGTAGTAAATGGTGGGGCAAAGGGGCCCCTTCCTGCTTGTTTGTTCTTCCACAGCGAGGCTGCTCTCCCTCTCATCGAGCCGCTTGCCCTTGAAGCTGGCAATACCAATCCTGACGGCCTCTTTTCCTTCCTGGGAGGGGGGCTGAGGTGGCCCCAGCCGGACTGGGCTGTGAGGGGAAACTATGCTCTGCCCACACAGCTGGCCAAGCTCTCGACGAGGGGAGTCAAGCAGGACCACGGGCCTTGCCTTTTGCCCTGGCTCTTCCCTGTCTAGCTCACTCCCGGAAGCCTGCCAGGGCAGCAGCTACTACAAACACTGCAGAGAGGAAAAGGAGCTGAGGGGACAATCTCCCAAGGATGTGGCTGGGTATAAGACAGATAGATTTCTGGCTCACATGACCGTTAATCTGAGGGGGAAGATGGGAATGTTCCCCAGGAAAGCTCTGCAGCTGAGTGGTCTGGCCAAGCTACCCATTGCCGGGAAGGCGGATAAAACCAGGGGGAATTTCAGGGAGCAGGGCATTCCCCAGCTGCCAGTGACGGACAGGTCTAGTTCTTCCCCCGGGCAGGCTAAGGTACCCACTGTAACAGATCTGTGGCCCCTGGCACCAAGAAGAAAGGATGATGAACTCTGAATGAGTCCTTCTGATGACCATAAAAAACAAACTGCATGGAACTCAAGACTGTAAAGCTGGATTGACTCTCCAGGAACAGCATGTTCATTTACAACAGTTACGCTGATAAGGATATGACAGGAGGCAGGAAGGGCACCCTACAAAGGCTGCAATGAGAACCCCCTTAACAGGTTAATTCTAAGCAACTGTGGCACCTTTCCTCTCTCTCTGCAATTTCATACGGATCATTATGGCATCTAGGCCCCCTCCCATATAAAAGAATCAGAGCATTTCCCCTAAAAAGGTTCATGCATGCCCCAAAAGGGTTTACTATGAGAGACATGTTAAAATAATGGCAACATCACTGATTGGATGACAAGGAAGCAATGCTATTTAACAGGCTTCTGTAAGCTTGCCACTAATTACAAAGATGTTTGTTTCTTAGCGAAAGAGAAGCTGCATTATCTACTGGCTAGTACCTCATGTGACGTCAGGACCCCTGGGTTTGACTACCAGCTCTACCACTGACTTCCTCCGTGACCCCAGGCAAGTCATAGCACCTTTGCCTCAACTGCTTCATCTGTAAAATGGGAATTATCGTTGCCTACCTCAAAGGTATCCTGGGAGCTCATGTCTGCAAAGGGCATAGAAAGGCTCAGATGAAAAACGGTGGCAGTACTAAATACTCACTGGTGCTCAGAATGTCCTGATGGGAAATTAGGTCATTCAGTGTCTGAGGACGATATTTTTCCACCCTAAAGATAAAGATATTTTAATATAAATGCAGATGAAGAGCTGAGACTTCAGGCATTTCACAAGTGTAGAAACCAGGTGTTCCAGGCATGAGATTTCTCTTTGTTCTCGTCCCAGTGCTGGATAACAACCCACAAGGTTAGGTTAACGCTCACCTTCAATCTACTCTGAATTTGTACTGACATCAAAATCTAGTCCTATGGTTCTGGTTGCAGTTCAGAGGGGTCTGTTTTCTGAATCAAGTCTAAGATGGTAAAAACTTCACAAAAAGAGCTGAGCTTGTAATTTTTCTGCCCAAAGCCTGGAAGGAGGAGGCTCCAGCATCATCAAATCCAAACCCCTGCTGAATCCTAACAGCGAGAGCCCAGTCCAGGAAATGCTGGAGGCAGCCGAGTTGGGAGTTGCAGTATGGCCCCACCCCAAAAGAGCAGGTAAGGTGTGTTCTTGTGTGGCTAAGTACAGGACTGGTTGGACACACTGTTTTTTGGTTGTTGTTTTTTTTAAACAAATGGTTTGTATTGAGCTTAGAGTGGGCCAGGCCTAGTGAATGCAGAACTAAGAGCCACCAAAGCAGGGTAGCCTTATTTCTACTGATCCCTAGGGAACTGGCTTTGGACGAGTTGTCCCAGATATAGGAATCCATCTCCCATGCTAGGAGGAAAATGGCATTTGAAGTTATAAAAGGCTTTGTTGTTGATTTACCCAAGTGATCTCCCAGATGAGGTCCATGGAGAGGGCAGGCTACTCCCGATCAGACCAGGCGAGCAAACAAACCAGCATGCCTCAAACTATACAAACTAAGTGCCTGGGATTGATCCTGCTTCCCCAGCATCTCCCCTTCCTGCCTCTCAGGAAGGAATGGCTT